ATACTCCTATAGTCTGTTTATATTATTATAATTTATTATTACTTGCAATTAATATATTATGATTATATAACATGTATTTTTAATTTAATAATTTGCAGATTTTTTTTTAAAGGCCAAAAATCTTTCCTTACAGAAATTATTTTGGGCCATTATGCATTTCTCTTACCTTTCCTTTCCTTGACATCCTTTGGAAATTCTGCTGTCATTTTCCCAAGTCTTTTGTTTGAGCAGCCAAGTTCACTATTGATGAAAGTAGTAGCTGGGGAAATTGTTTGCCGTTGCTGTTCAGAAAACCTCTAAACTTGATCACTTAGCAGGTGTCTGTGCAGGTCAAGTTGAGAGTCAGAACAGGCTCTTAACAGCAAAGTACTAGAGGTAGTGTCAAAACTTGCCTTGGGGTGCATAGCAAAAGGTACTTTCTGTCTGGATTAATACCAACTGTGTTACTTCCACAAAGTAGAAACTGTTTGGTTTTGTGGGTTTTTTTCCCCCCTGTATTTTGTCCAGACTGTTTAAAGGTTCATCTTGTCTGAAGTAAAAGTGGCTTTTGAATAGCTAGGAAATGACAGAAAAATATTTCCTTGGGTCTGTCAGCAGAACCAGAGAAGAAAACAGTCCAGCTGCTTTAAAGGATACACCCTGTGTCATACATAGCCTTGACTCTTAAAAAGCAAACAAACAAAACGATGTTTTAAAAAAGAAAAACGACCTTCTGAATAGAGCTGGATTTTGACATTGTTTCATGGGAACTTGAGTGAGCTTATACAATATCAGCAACTGTAGAAGAAGCATTTCAGATAAAGCAAATGTTTTGAACTTTTAACATCATCAACTAAGTGGTGCAGCTGCATTTGCAAAATCATGCAAATCATATGTAGGGGACAAAAAAGCATTCATAATTCAGGTTATTCATGCATGCAGATTTGTGATAGTTTTACCCCTTCCCTAATCTTTATGTATCCATGACAACAAAACCTGTTCACATTTCACAAGCAAAGCAGTTAAAAAGTGAAGGTTTTAATAATATAAAATTAGCAGATCTACAAGTATTTTTTAAGATACCATACCAAAGCTATGAGCATGGAAATGTATAGATGTAAAGGATTAACAGGGAATGACAACTGCTTCTCATGAAACTAGACAAAGAATTACAAAAATTGCCATGTTGTCCACATTATTGTACCATTTAAAATCCAGACTGACCTCTTCACCACAGAATAAGCTCTTTTGATTTTAAATGACATTTTGATTATTTGAACAAATACTTGTGCTATTTCAGGTCTTCATTCTAAATATGCAAAATAAACCAGAAAAAGAGCAAGGAAGTAAATGCTAGTTGCTTGCTTTTTCACTGTGGGAAGCTCTTAAGCAGACTCTTCCTTCTACTGTAGAGGCCTAATGCAATTGCTTGATTTTGCACACATTTTTTTGATTTCCCTTTTTATAATCAATTCACTTGTAAAATCTCTGCACATCATCATCCATTAAAGATACATGTGAAAATAGATGATAATAGTATACTTAAGCTAAATTGTGAGTTTGGAGCTGAAAGCCAGTTCCAGTGCTGCAAAATTGTGAAGGTAGACCTTTATGCCCACCTGTAGTTTGCTCCTGAAAAAGAAAACTTGCAGCTGTGGAGGGAGAATGAGAAGGCCACTTCCTTTTGATTTTTATTGTCAAGTCAGCCAATCGAAATACAAATGAAATGAAGTTTGCCACTCTAAACTCAGAAGTATTGGCATTGACCCATACCTCTCAAGACCGTATGTTCTAATATCACACTTGCAGGTTGCATGTGAGGCACTGAAACTACAGCAGTATTTCAGGTATTTTTCTGAATGTGAGCTTGTAAATAAAGGAGATATATAGCAGAACATAGTAAGGAAATTTGCTTTAAAAATTAATAACAACCTACTAGTATCATCAGATTAGTAATAAATAATGCAGAAAGAGCTAATATGCCATTGAGCATGTAACTGATGAAACAAGCATTTTGGAGCTCTAAACCTCAGTAGTATCAGAGAATGGTGACTGACAAGAAACAAAGTGAAGAATAGAGGAAACTAGGCAAGCCTGTTACCTTATATTTTTTAGGTAGATGGAAGCTGTAGTGTGTGTTTTGAGTTGACATACGTATCTGTATGGAATCCTAAATCACAGCAGTCAGTAAAACTTTCTTGAATTTTTCAGGAAATCTTACTAAAGAGAGAGAAGTTTGGATAGATGGGTGGAGTTGTACCTTATTAACTGTGCTGTTTACAGTAAAGTGTTTGCTATTAAGCGGGGAGAAACTGGGTAGAGGCAATCCAGAAGCAGAGCACAGTCAAGACATTTGCTTACATATACCATTGTGCATACAGTGTGTGGGGATAAAAGATGGAGGCAGTCCTTAACCCTGATAACTCTCCCTTTTCACCCCACTTCTTAACTTCAGTTTATTGTTAATTGATGATCAGAAGTTGGATTCCTGTATTACTTGTCAGTAATCTGGCAATCTCGTTCCTGTTCCTTGTCTGATTGTGATACTGGATGCAGCACAATCCCTTAGATTTCTTCTTTAGCATCCCCACCATATCACAGGCCATAAGATAGCAAGATGCTTCTTGTTGCATTGAGTCAGTCATCTGCACATGTGTCTGTGGCTCTTACCCTCAGTGCCTCATGCACACTTCCCATGACATTCCTGATGCACCCTGTGGAGTTAAATTCACAAATTCTGTTTAACATTCACGCTACACCCACACCATGTATCTCCACCACCTAATCCTTCTCCAGCTAATGTCCTCTTTTCTGGACATTTCTGCTAAGGGTTCTTGAGGATAGGAAGTTTGGGGAGAGATGGCAAAACCCATTGAAGAATAAAGGGATTATATTATTGACCTTGACCTGCTTCCTTTACCGTAATCCACAGAAAGCAGCAACACCACAGTGGCCTCTAGTGGGTTGTGCAGTCTCTTGTATTCCTCATACAGTAAGTCTTGGGCAGGCTTGTTAAGCTGGGTTTCTGAAGAGGAAGTTGTGCTAGGGCAGGAAAGGGGTGGTGGCTGTCAGGGACATATTGTTGTACACCCTTGCAGGCTGTGTGCTGCCTGGGGCCTGCCAGTTGGAAAGTACTAGCTTAACGGGTGGAACGAAGTTAGTGTCTGAAGTGTGTTTGTGAATAGTGTTGTGGGAAATAGAATAGGCAGAAAGAGTTCAGTGTTTGGTTAATATGGATATCCCTGTTAATCATCTGGAAAAGCATTTAAACAGTAGCTAGTGAAATGGAGTAACTTGAAATGTGTATAAACATCACAGAGCAGAGAGGGATTGGAAATTCTTGTTTTGGATGGCAAAATGATAATCAGCTTAGAAAACGTGGCCCTAAATTAAATGCAAGTTTGTAATGCCTCTATATATGGTAGTGAAGAAGACACAAGACTTAATTTTTCAGGGGACAGCTCTGAGGCGAGGGACTTTCTAATTACTGTTATAGAGAATCTGGGCTTTATGGAACGGTTCATTTTGGAGTACTTTGTCATTGTAAAGATGTAGACAAAATGGAAGGAGTTCATCAGTTAACAGTTGACATCATCAAGGTCTGGTGTCTGAGGAGGACTGTTGAGGACAGATAGATGAATTTAAGCATGTGGTATGCAGCTAAATCCCAATTATGGAGGAGTGGAAAGGGAGAGGAACATAAGTGTATAAATATTTGAATGATGTAAATGCCAAACAGAGATTTTCTCTTGTACACAGTGGTACAAACAGAAAAGATGGAGAAGAAATGAAAACTCTGTGCTATATATCCGAGGAACTTTGCCAATGAAAAGAAATGCAAAAGCACTGATTTCTGGAAGGAATAAAGGAAGCCTTGTCTCTGGAGAGAGTGACCAGGCTGGACAGGAAGCCTTCGGAAAGAAATCTTGTCCTTATTTTAGTTAGGATAGGGCCTTTTTGATTGTAACTTCCATGAATCATGGAGTCATTGGAGAACTCATAAAACATTTTGTGTTTGGATAGGGTGACAGAAACCATCAGTGTGGTTCTGTAATGCTGCCATTTGAGTTAGTTACAACGTATTTCTTATTTGAAAGACTGTTCCTTTTTGTGTCTTACAACTTTCAGCAATAACTTTACCTTAATATGTTTGCTGCAGGTGGGTGGGAGGCAGTCTTTGGGTTACAACTTCTGTTATATTTGATTTAACTTTTAACTACCTGTGTAGCTATCAGTGGGTTACTGAAAGAAAGCTTACTTTCTTATCAGCTTTTTATCTCTTAGTAAGCACATCAGTCAATTTGGAGGGCTTGCTTTTTCTGGTTTTTTTTTTTTTTTTTTTAAAGTCATGGCTAAAAGTAATGTTTTCTAGACTAAAACCACTACCAGCCATTCCTGCAATAAAATAGGTTAGTATACAAGGAGTTGTAATACTCTCAAGAATTTCAGGAACGCTCTCTACAGACTTTCTTTTTAAATTTGCAAATTACAGACAACTCCAGAACAGGAATTTTGATCATATTTGTTTTGCACAATTAGCTGAGATAGGTATGTCCCCAACTTTAGTTAAATAAATAAATAAATTGATGTGAATTTCCAAGTGATCAAAAAATGAAAACCACTGGCAGAAAACAATTAAAGGCAGGTCTTGCATGGTGTGTTGATAGCTACCATCATTCCAATGCCACTTCAGTAAAATTCTTAGCAAAGTATACTTTGGTACATAGGTTTCATCATAGATAAAGAATGTGCATTTTCAGAAGAAAAAGAGATGATGTAAGATTTCTTTTATAGTGATTTAAATATAAATTCTGAAGATTTTTTTCTGTAATTGTTTCTGAATATGGCATATATAAACATGAAGTTAAAAACTTCCGAATGAAGTCATATTGAAGCTCCCAAAAGTTAAAATCAGCTTGGTATTTCCTTGAAGCTTAGCTTTTAATATAAAAGTAAATCCTTGCTTTTTCTAATCCAGTGTGATCTAATTGCAGTTGATGAGTAAAGAGTCTCCAGTCTCTGTTGGAAATGATGCTTACGTTGACCTTGATCGGCAGGTATCTAAGACTAGATGTTTCTTTTCCTTCAATTATAGCACATCAGTGGCCAGTCATTTTGCTTTATTAAGTCTGTCTTTTTTCCTTTAATCATGAAGGGATTTTGTGGGAAATTCAAATAAGGATTGGAAAACTAAATTTCAGTATTTCAAGTCCTTTTGCTTTATAAATTGCGTTTACCTATTTTGTGTATTTAAAGGAGAGAAAAACTCAGTTTGGAAAACAAGTTTAGCTGTATGACATAGTATAGCAAAACTGCAGACTGATGCAAATCTTTGGGTATTGAGAAAGAAGGATAAAAAAATGTGTAGTATTTGAATAAAACTTTTTTTGCCAGTTCCTACTTCCAAGTATGTTTAAAAAAAAACCGCATAGATATGGCTTAAAAATCCTTAAAGCAGTTCTGGGAACTGTTACAATATATAAGAGAAGTTTTCAAAGAGAATCCTCCCGTCTGATACATATAAAGAATATGCAGAACCAATTGTTTTTTTACTAGCTTAGCCTCATGCTAACACTGTCCTACTTCCTCTGTTTTTTCCTAATTGAGAAGTATAGTACAGTGGTGTTCCCATGTTTTTTCTGCAGAAGTGTGTAAATTCTGGCAGATGGACTTAATTTTTGTATGTCAACAGGTCCTTGAGAAATAAACTTGAAAAAAAAAGATATGATAATGTTGTTTGAGAAAGCCCATCTAAAATTCATCGTATATAATAATATGTATCTCTGTATACATAATATGCATGCACCTGTTTTATCAGGCCAATTTTCTTGCAGCTATGTTTTTTATGTTATCTTAACTGCATTCATATGCAAACTTGCAAGATACATATCTTTGAACATAAAGCCTTTGAAGGGAAGTATCTGAACATTTCCCACTTCTTATAAGATTTAGTGCCTTTTTCAGAAAGGTAGGCTTCTCCCTCACCATGTTAGTTGTATTCCTGTTGCGCAGTAAGAGTAGCTTCCAGTTACTAGGGAGATTTTACCCTGATTGTCCATTCCCTGTATTCCACCTTCCAGTCCTTTCTGTATTTGAAAAGTAGATTGAAAACTGAAATTATGCACTCTTTGCATCCCTAAAGAAAAGTGGTATTGACAATTTTTTCAGCTTACAGAGTTGATGAGTTCTTCAGACCCAAGTTCTTCAGGATTTTTTGACTCAATTCATAGAATAGATGTGATAATTCTAATGTATTTTTCATATTACTTTTAGGTATATTTTACTGTCACACAACTAAACAGTAATCATATCTACTTCTTTGTTTCTTCATAAGAGTGTAATTGCCTCAGTTTTCCAAACATTTAATATATTACCTAAATGTAAAAATAATTTTACACTCATGTAGTTCAGAATATTTTTAGACACTTCACAGAGAGTGATGAAACTATAAATGTTTGTTGTTTATGGTAGCTGAAGAAAACTACAGAAGAATTAAATGAAGCACTAGCAACAAAAGAAGAAATTGCCCAGAGATGTCATGAGTTAGATATGCAGGTAGGTTTGCTATGTTGTACATGTTAATTTTGAAGTGGGAAAGAGATATGTTATTTTTAGGCAGCTGAAAACAAGAAGTATAGTGTGGAAACATAATTTTTAAAAGGGAGATGAAAATTGCACAGTAATTATTTTGCTTTACTTGTGCTAGCAGAGTGAATTTCATTGTTTTCTTATGTTGATGCAATGTTGCAAGTATTAAAATGATTCATACTAACAAAACTTTTTTCATTCAGGTAGGAAGGGGTTGAGCGGTGTGGTTCAACTCTTGCATTAGAGAACTAATAGAGGTTATACTGCTCGAAGAGTTCCAGTTAAGAGTTAAATCCTGATCAGAAGTTACTGTAATCTGTCAGCTGTGTATGGATTTAGACTAAGCCTTGTCGTAAATCAAGCATACCTCATCCGGAAGACATGAGGAGTGTAAAGCCGGAGCCCTGAAAGGCGTTGCCATTGCAAACCTTTTTTGGAGTTTAATTCAGGCTTTTGCCAAGTAGTCCAGTAACTGTTAGAACTAATGAAGCTGATTTGTATGTCATGGTTGAATCTGGTGTATTTGATGATTCAGGCTCTTACTGAACCATTTCCTTCTGTTGAGATGTTCACATTCCCTCTCTTCCCCTTCTCCTCCTCCATGTTAATTCTATACTATTTAATAATATATGAACCCATGATTCAGCTGTTGTTTGACTTGCAGCACTTTGGGTTCTTTGCCCTACGGCCTGTTTTCGCAACATGGGCAGAAACCGAGTCATCTTTGGGACTGTGTTCCTGTTTCAGGTCTGCTTGCAGTTGGCCACTGGATTAAAAAAAAAATCCAGGAAAGGCACACCCATCCCTTGGATATCCAGACTTGGGCATTCGGTGTGATTGATAGGCATTGTTTCTTTTGGAAATGAGTTTTAAAAGCTTTACTGTGGAGGGCTAGTTTTATTTGTTTGTTGGGAAAGTACGTAGACTTTATTATAATGAAGTTATCTCCTGTGATAACTAAGACTTTTTCTTTAGATGCTTGTGCAAGATACAGTAAGAATAGTTACATTTTCTGTGTGGTAAATCTGCCCCTAATGTTACAATATCTTGGTTACATCATTTAGCAATTGAATTCTTATTAATGTTACAGTATATTCTTGTGAAACGTGATCATTGAAGCCTGTGTGTTTCTGTTTGTGGGTTGTGTTGATACTTTATTATGCACACAAAAAAAAATTGCTCTCTATAGCTGGCTAGCTCAGTTATTCCAGTTTATGCTTTTATTACAACAGGTTGCAGCCCTCCAAGAGGAGAAAAGCAGCTTGCTCGCCGAGAACCAGATTTTGATGGAACGTTTAAATCAGTCTGATTCCATTGAAGATCCCAACAGCCCTGCGGGTCGTAGGCACTTGCAGCTGCAGACACAACTAGAACAACTCCAAGAGGAAACGTTCAGGTATAAAAGCTACACTTGGTTAGATTGTTTGTTTGTAGCTGGCAACAGACATGACATATACTTCTGGTTCTGCTGGCAATTATGATTTAGTATAATGGGTGGTATAGCCACAGTAGTAAGGTTTTTACAGTGATGTACGTGTTATGATTTACCCCTTTACAAGCTCCAGCATACAAAAATGCGTAATTTCTTAATGCTGAAATGCTGTATACATGTCACTCTCTACTCTGAACTTATTTTGAATTGTTTGTGTGCAATCATTTCACCCATATTTTTCAAAATCGGTGAGAATGAAAAGTAGCATGCTTTCCTCTATGTAAATTATTCTGATTGTATTTTTAAGGTGTAGTAATTCCTAGCTGAAAGTTTGCTATGGGCAGTACTACAGGTGGTATTATTATAGAGCAAAGTGTGTCCTCTGAGTTTGAAAACAAATTGTTTCATATCTGAAAGATGGAGATTATCCGCATGTGAGCTCTGCTCTTCATTTGCATTTCCTCAACACATGGAAATACAGTTCCTCTTTCAATATCCTTCCTGGTCCTTTTGATTGTTGCTTTCAGGCGATGTAAGCCTATTCTGCTGAAGAAAGGTCCACTTCACCATCATCTTTTAATTCTTATTGCTGTGTTTTTCCTATCCTTTGTGAGTGAAACTATGGTATTCCTTTACACTGCCAGTTTTTCTTCTCTTTCTGTCCTCTTCCGGTTGCTGTTTTCTAATTCTTATGTCAGCTGCCATGTAACTTTCCTTTTTTGCCTGTTTTGCCATTTTTCCACTTCCTCTTGCTAAGCCTCTTTCCTGCATGTTCAGGCACACCCTCTTCCTTCACTTTCTTGAAAAATGTTCAGTGTTTCTCTTTCACAGCAGCTAGTGGCTGGTTTTCTTCTTTCTATACATCTACCATGTGAAGGAATGATGTAATGATGTCTCTCTAATGTCCCCTTTTATTTCTTCTTACTCATCTCCATGCTCTGGAATGGTTCCTACCTGAGTCTATTATCAATTGCTGTTTGAATAGGTTTTCTCCCCATATGCAATATCTGTACTGCCTGTTACTCTAGTTTCAGGTTCTGAAGGTCTTTCTAAACTCTTTTCATGTGTGAGACTCATCTCCCAATCTCCTTTGCCTCCTTCCCCTGCCTTCATAGCATGTGGTTTCTGATGGCAATTTGTATGTATTCCTTCTCTAGCTCTACCTGACCAAGCAGGACATATGTACAGCTTAACTGGTGCCCAGCGTGGTACAACAGTTTTTCTCCCAGTCTTGGCTTTTTGCCTTTGACAGTTTGTGTCTTTCACGATCCAAATCTTTGTTGTATATGCTTTAGATGACCTACTGACTATGTCTTGTCTCCATTCTTGTAGATTCTTTTTAGACTGCTTGAATTAATGGATAGAATACTTGTTCGTTGTTTTTTTTTTTCCCATGCCCATACCTCCTTTTCTGGATTGTTTTTATTTTAATTTCAGATCAGAATCACAATAGGACTTCATGTGCCAGGTTGTGTCCTTTTCCATTTGTTCAAAATGCTTTGACAAAGTTTCTCTTAGTTATTCCCTTTGTTCACTGCCAGGTTAATGCAGCTTTGCCTGTGTATGCTGCGTGTAAGTAGTTCACTTCAGAAACTTTGGTCTGAGTTCTTTACATGCTAACTAGATAACTAAATGTATGACTTGGTTCTTCACAGGTACTGGTACAGGTTCTTTATAAGTAAATAAATAAAGCCACCTTGGTGAGAGCTCTAGAGCATTTAGAACATCTGACAATCAGGTCAATATTGTTGAAGGTGTATAGGAGTTGCACTGCTGAACAAAATCTTAGGATAAAGATGTCATGTTCAAACTCTCAATGCCCCAAGATGAAAAAAGGGGGAAAATTCTGCTTGAGCTTCTATTGTGAAAAATTGCTATGACAGAAGAAACTCAGGATTTGTCATTCTGACAACATACATTACATTGTGATCTTTCAAATAGAAAGACTGATATCAAATTGGGAACGTCAAAAAAGTCAATCTGTTTCTTTGTTTTTGAATAAGGACATTGGGCTGCTGTTCTCCTTCACTGCACCAGAAGGCCGTTTCATGTGTTTTTAGACAGTATGATGAGGAGGAAAGGTGACTGTGGCTGAAGCTGAGAAGTTATTTTCTGTTTTACTTTATTTCTGCAGATTAGAAGCTGCCAAAGATGACTATCGAATACGTTGTGAAGAACTAGAAAAGGAAATTGCTGAATTGAGACAACAAACAGAAGAGCTTACTACATTGGCAGAGGAGGCTCAGTCTTTGAAGGATGAGATAGATGTACTCAGGTAAACTCTGTTCCATTAACCCTTTTTTAACTATTAAATTTTAACCCATATAATTTGTGTACTTAGTCTTCATTAGCTTTTGTTTAAATAATTTTAATATTAAATATAAACACTTTCTCAATGCCAAGGTTCTTTTGGATCCTCCAGTTAAATACACAGACCACCATACAATTTTGCTTAAATAAATTAGTTGTTTATTATGTACCTAATCAATAACTATTAGTAAACCTAGCAATCCTACACTGTCTTATGGTCATAACAAGTCACTCACTGGTCTCTTGAGTATTCTCTACTCATCTTCATCATGGCTTGGGCATGTGTTCTCATCAGGGAACTAGACCCTTTCCTTTCCTGGGTTTGCATTATTCGGACTTTGGGTGGCGCTTTTGGTTCATCATATAATGCTAATGTGAACAGCAACTGTTACAGCTCTCTTTGCCTTTTGGATTTTAGCACCCAAAGTTGTCATGATTTGCTGATGCTAGAGATTTATAGGGTGGGGCAGCCCCTTTTACTATGGAACATAATCCTTCAGTGGTGGCATCTTGCTGCCGTGGGTTATTCAGAACAGTTATCCACTACCCACCTGTATCACTCTTCCTAGCCAGTCTAGCAAGGTTTATTTTAATACTGCCTTTTCTAATTCACCATCAGCTTTCTACCAAAGCTGTTTGTCATTACCTCCTCTGTCATTAATATAAGGAATGAGCCCATCAGGCTGCACAATTCCCTAAACTGTTTGTATGGGCAGCATGGTTTCAAAGAGTAATTCTTTGCCCCAGAAAGAATCATAGAATCATAGAATCATTAAGGTTGGAAAAGACCTCTAAGATCATCGAGTCCAACCGTCAACCTAACACCACCATGCCCACTAAACCATGTCCCTAAGCGCCTCATCTACATGTCTTTTAAATACTTCAGAGATGGTGACTGAACCACTTCCCTGGGCAGCCTGTTCCAAGGCCTGACCACTCTTTCAGTAAAGAAATTTTTCCTAATGTCCAGTCTAAAGCTCCCTTGGCGCAACTTGAGGCCATTTCCTCTCGTCCTATCGCTTGCTACTTGGGAGAAGAGACCAACCCCCACCTCGCTACAACCTCCTTTCAGGTAGTTGTAGAGCGCGATGAGGTCTCCCCTCAGCCTCCTCTTCTCCAGGCTAAACAGCCCCAGTTCCCTCAGCCGCTCCTCATAAGACTTGTGCTCGCTCCAGCACCTCAATGTCCTTCTTGTAGTGCGGGGCCCAAAACTGAATGCAGTATTCGAGGTGCGGCCTCACCAGTGATGAGTACAGGGGCACGATCACCTCCTTACTCCTGCTGGCCACACTATTTCTGGGCTCTGCATTTCATTGGGGATTAAGGAGATTTGGCTTGCCTCAATGTCCCATAAATTGACCATCAATTCAATGGGGGATTCTCCAGATTTCATAGGAAATTGAGTTGGTAAATCGGCTGGTTCTAAAATGAAACTGGGACAGTAACAGTAGCGGAGGTGTGGCTGGTTGGGGGTGAGGGCTGTTGCTGTCCTGGCAGTGCACCAGGTGGATTGAAAAAACTCTGGAATGTTATGAACAGAGCCTGGTGTTTCATTTTTTGAGAATGAATCAGGCTCCAAAGCTGTTGTGGTACATCTGTGTCACGAAGTATATGCTGCTCAGGAGATAAATCTTTATGATTTTATTCCTGACTGTCATTAAAAGAAATTGAAGGGCAGAAAATTTTGTTCTTTAATAAAGACTGAGGATTGATTTAGCATTGAAAGGAAATGGGTGGGATTGAAGGTTTAACTATCATTTTAAGATTGGAAGCAGATAAGGTGGCTGTGTTAGGAAGAGTGATCGTGTTTAAAAGTACCTCCATCAGCAGCTCTTTGAGTTGACAAATAGTTATGGGAGGGAAGCAGACAATTTAAAAGTGAAAGCATTAGTAATAGGAGAATATGATTGCTTTCTTGTTCTCCCCATGATGTCTCAGAATGTCTTCTGCATCAAGGCAAAATACTGAGGAAGCTTCAGGACATTTCATTTTGTTAGTTTTCAGAGTACAAATTTGATACAAATCTGTCCCTCCAGGCATTCTTCTGATAAAGTAGCCAAGTTAGAAAGCCAGGTAGAGTCATACAAAAAGAAATTGGAAGACCTGGGTGATTTGCGACGGCAAGTGAAACTCTTAGAAGAGAAGAATACAATGTACATGCAAAATACTGTGAGCCTGGAAGAAGAACTAAGGAAGGCCAACGCAGCACGCAGTCAGCTGGAAACGTACAAGAGACAGGTGAGAACAGACATCATCAGTGCAACAGTTCTCTGTACTGTTCAACACTTTCTCTTTGTAAAGTGGCTAATATCTCAAAGGAAGAGAGAAATTATGAACAAACAGCTCCTTGTGTTTGGAAGACTTCCGTGTTTTGTAGGTACTACCTTTGTCCTCCTTTCCTGCAATTCGTACTGTTATTTCAAGTTTGCCACTAGTTTGCCAATAAGCAGTATTTCTTACTTTTAAAAAAATCAAGAGATGTGAAGTTTTTTTCTCAAATTATTCCTAATTCATATTCAGTAGCGGGGCTTGAATTAGAGCCTCTTCTTTCAAAAAAAATATTCTCTTTTCACTTAACAAATTTCCAGCAGTGAGGAACGCACCACAGCTGAGGTAAGTTATTCCAGTGGTTAAGTAACATCTGTTTTTTTAAGGTTCTAGTTTGTCTGATACGTCTGAATTTGTCCAGTTATGAATTGAGAAGGACGCGTATCATCCCTATTGTTTATATGCACCCAGCAGAGTACAAAATGTGTCACCAGCCCACTCTCTGGAGTGAAAGGCATCTGTTTATCCTCCTGCTTATCAAAGTGCCATGTGATCCTGTTTCTGTAAAGGTGGAAGATGTGCTTAATCTTCTCTCTCCTTCTACACTACATTGACATGACATCATTCTGGGATTCTTGTTACAGGGCCAGACAGAGTGTGGTTTGTTAAAGTAGTAGTGCCTGCTCATAAGCTCTAATGGTCATGGCACAGGGGTCCCTGTATGTCAGTTTACAGCAAAATAAAAATACAGAAACAACCACTAACAACATTGCAAGCCCGGGAGCAATGTGTGTCCCTAAGACTTGATAGCTTTTTCCCTGCACCTGGCCATCTTGGTTATTAAGACAACTAGCTTTGGCCTCTATGGGCTACTTGTAAATACAGTCCAAATGATTCCACCAGGAAAAAAAAAAAAACTTGGACAAGAAAAATCCTGAAATAACAGGCAATCAAAGGGGAAGGTAAATGTAGAAAGCAATGGCCTTTCACACATGAGTAGCATCATGTTTACTGGCAACAAATATTTCACTCCATTGAACAGGTGAGCATGTGATACGGTTGTGTAACTTCAACATCTGCATCTGATCATTCTTATTTCACCAACAATAAGGATTTTGGAATGGGCAGTTCCATCATTTGTGCTGCAAAAGTACTCCTCCTTTTCTTCATCATTCCCTGTGTTTTATCAGTAGGATTTCATGTCTGAGGAGCTGTTGATTTGTACAAAACTGTTCCACTGGCTGAGACTGGAATAAATCTCAGACACATGACAGATGTGAGTTTTCTTCACCTAACCGCAGTGCGTCAAAACGAACACATAGTGTGTTTGCCTTCAGTGTCTGTAAGGCTGGGCTCCTTTTGAGACCTGTCAGTGAATCTTGTGCTGTCACAAAATTAATTTCTGGGAATCCTAAATTGTGCTATAAGAATTATGCCAGGTATAAGAATTCTGATGTTATGTCACTGCTGAGCACTAGTGTGCCCCTGTAGTGGAATGTGTCTTGTCTGGTGTGTGAAGGATCCAACCCCACTCATGATGAAGCCATCAGAGGAGTTATTTCTTTTGCTTAGAAGCTCTGTGCTGTGCAGATGAAAGTGCTTGGTTCAAACTCCTATAGTGATCTGCAAGGAAATCGCATCTTCACCCCACTCAGCAGTTTCTGTGAGATGAGGTTAGTGGTGGTGTATTTTGCTGGGAGATGTAATAGCATTTATTTATTTAAGAGTTTTTGTTCACTTTTCTGAAAGCAAGCACAAGCATTTTCTAAGAAACTTTTTATTGCAGCATGAAGAATTGAAATGTGAAGATTCCAGGATTATTTTTTGTAATTTTAATTCAGCCCCTTTGTGCATGTGCATTCTGATATATTTTTAACAGTATGTCTTGCTTTTCTTTGCTACAAGATTCCTGCTTTACTCATTCCACACATCAGATAATGCTCAGTAAATTGTGATGGCAGTTCATTTTTTTTTAGTCTTCTGCATTATCATGTAGTTGTATATCTTTCTATACACTCCCAAGTCCTGATTCAAGACAATTTATTTCCTGCTGTTTTTTTCTACATACCATCGCCATAGCATGAGTGATTACGAACATTAATGCATTTGTGTCCATTTGAGAGGAAAATATACCTATTTTGCAAGTGAGGGCACAATCACAGGTGAAGGCCTGCATTTTTTTTTTTTTTTAATACTTGCAGTTATTCTGATAGCCCCAGTGATGGATATTACATCTGAGAAATGAAATATTTTCATATCTAACATTTTGAGATTTTTTTTTTATCTAATAATCTCAGAAATGGCGGGCCTGTGCTTTTTTTGCAGCCTTTAATTTAAGTCTTCTCTAAGACTTAAGACCATGCAGATTTTTAGGCCTGATACTTACTTTGCTATAGCTATACCCATTGAAAATAAAGGGTAATTAGAACCACTAGGCAGTCTTAATGGAGGTATGGCTACTGCTTTGCTTCACAATTTAAGTTAATCACTTTCTCTGTAATCTAAAAGCCATGAAAAACCCTTCTTATGAATTGCTTCGGAAGAAACTGTAAGTCTTTAGCTGAGTCTTCATTCAGCTTTTATGTTTGCAGGACAGTCTTTATTCAGCTTACTTGCTTCCATGCTCTCTGCATTATGAGCATTACTAATGTTCTGAGAATGAGCCTTTGCTTGTAAAGGCTGAGCATTTTGAAAAGGCAAGACTTACTGGTTTGCCTCCCGTTCACTGATCGTTTCTGCTTTCAGATTTCTGCTCATTTAATTTTAAAAGCTCTTTACTGATCTGTTGAAAGTATACACGCAACTTCGTTAGCAATGTTTCCTTCTGAAGTAAAGAAAACTGTTTATAAGCCTGTGGCTGAATCTTTATGTTAGTGTATTAAAAATAATTAGGAAAAAGTCAGGTTGGGAGTTATGACTGCATAAACTGGTGGCTGAATTCTGAGTGAGACTTGTGAAATAGAGTTAACAAAAGGTGTAGATAATTTGCTTTCTTCAGAGTTTTTCTTTTTCCTAGGCTTCTCAGAGTGAAGGAGGATTTTTCTACTTTTCCTAAGCTCTTTGATCCATAGAACTATATAGCTTTTTTCTGTAAACCATGCTTGGGCTTAAATTCTTGTTTTCAGATGTACTGAAAATACTTCACAGTTTTTGCTTCTTTTGCTTGTGCTGAGACCTAATATATGAATGCTGTTGGTTTTGCTGAAACACAGAACAACTGATGAAAGCAGTTTTTAGTATGTTCTATAAGTAACTATTTCACTTATTTACAACATGACTCATGATGCATGGTAATTGGCTACTTTGTCTTGTGTATTTTGTTTTAATATTAATATTTGCAGACAAATTATTGATTCTTGTTCTCACAGGCAGTTGAACTACAAAACAGGTTATCTGAAGAATCCAAGAAAGCTGATAAATTAGATTATGAATGCAAACGACTGAAAGAAAAAGTAGACAGCCTCCAAAAAGAAAAAGATGTAAGTGCCAAGGTGTTTTTTTTTTTGGTAGTAGTGATAGCAACTTCGTGTCCTTTGTAACACAGAGATATGATAATTGTAGTTAGCCATTTACAGCAAGCTTTTTAAATTAGGAAGTCTTTTTTCACTTAAAATTTTCTAATGTTTGTGTACAAGACCCTTTTTAAACCTAAGAACTGTACAGCATGGAATAAAGTGACTGTACAAAAACATATGCAACCCATTTTTAGGAGGAGAAGCCTTCATATTTGGGATCTGAAGTTGTTTCTTGACCATTTACCATGAGAAGGTTAATAAACCTTAATGAATAGAAAAAACTCTAGGGCTTTTGAGAAGATTAATAAATGAGAAGGTTAATAAACACCCAGGGTAATTGTAATGTATTCTGAAAAATGATCTACAGTAGGGTTTCTGCAGTATCATCCTAGAACTAAACTCCTGTTGCATTTTTTCTAAAGCATTCTTTGAGGTACTATCAGCATGCTTCTCTTTGTGGAGTCATGACTACTGGAACAAGAAGCTTAGGAGTCGTGTAGAGGGACATGTCCTTTGTGGCAATCTCGCCTTTTATAACAAGGACAGCTCCTTGTTGATCTATCTTGTTCTGCCAAGATGGAACACACAGGATGGATACCAATCTATTCCCTTCCTCTCTGCCATTTGCTAGTGATTCTGCGATTAATTGCTCTGTCCTCTCTTGCCAAGACTGATCCTTCAGATTTCTCTTGCACACTGTTGTTTCTCACCAGTTTATTTTGGCTTGTTTCTTAGGAATGTATACTCAGGTGCCTCAAACTACCTCAAACCAAGGCCAGCACTTTGAGTTAGCAATTTCTTAGGCTTGTTTTAAGTATAAGTCCATCTATCCATCAGTCAGAATCTCTATAGTCTTTTCCCTCAATAGTCGTATTTCCTGTGCAATTCTTTCCAAAATTTCCAGCCCCTGCACTTGAATAGCATTTGAACTGAAAGTTTTCAGTTATTTTCTGTTTATAAGTCTTTGATTTCCATATTTTATTGAATTTTCAAACTACTGTGGACACTTGTCCTTGATATCACTTCCGTCTGTCCTTCAGTTCAGATTGGAATGCCCATAGTAACTGTATTCATACTGTGCTTTGGCTTTCTTTCCTGCTCTTTATTTAAAGTTTGTTTTTCCAGTTTTGTTATGTTTGACAATGGCAAGGTTGTGTCTGTGGCTTACCCATTGCTTGGCGGACCATTTCATCTTGCACGAAGGATCTGAATTGCAGGCCATTGTCATACAGTGTTCTGTTTTACCCACTGGCAAATAGCTTTTTTTGGGGCAGATGTTATTTTTCAATACATTCTTTTGAATGGATATGCACCTGTGAGAAGTAGATTACAGCTGAAGCCTCTCAGCATTTGAATTAGTGATTCACTACCTGTGTTACCTTCTGTCCCTGTCATCACATACTTAACCGGTAAGGTTGCCCACCACAGGTCACAAGCTACGTAGTGGTATCTTGTCAGTTATATGTTGGAAAGAGTTACTGAAATTGATTTTGTCCTTGTCTTTATGTTCTGGCGAAGTGTGGTGGCGTTTGACATCTTCAGCTATGTAGCTTGGAATTTTATCTCTGTGGTGTATTGTATGATAAGCACTAAGATAATTTGATGAGTTGACTTTGTCTGCAGTGTACAAATGAAGCCCTAGAGCTTTTTTTACTCATTAAAATATTCTGGCATTTGATTAATCAACTTGGTGTTTTCTGACTGATGGTAGCAGACTGCAGAATCCTTGCTTTCAGCAGCTGAATTTGAACACTCCTCTGTGTAGCTCTTCTTCTGTAGTATTTATGGTAAAAACAGTTGTGGGGTTTGTGAAATGACTTTCAGTGCTAACAGAATGTACACTTCATTCAGATTGTTCTGACAGTTGCACCAGAGTTCATTCACCTTGCGGGATTCAGAAATACACTAGAAGCCTCTGTCAGACCTCACCAAAATGTTCTTGGCCAAAGTAATTCCAAGTGTCCTGGATCCATTTGGGCTGAAATATAAAATATATGTGAATCAAACTGTTAATAGGATGAAATGCCAAGGACCTCTCAGCCGACACAACTCCATACCTACACAGAGCTGAGGTCTGTCCTGGACCTTTTAGTAATACTGGACATGTTTCATTTTGGAGCAAACTACAGCTTGGATCTTTACGTAGTTACCATTTTCTCTTTTCATTTTTGAATCTTGGCAAAGTTCTTGACAAAAACTTGATGCTACCGGTAGATTCTCGTTTTTTGCCAAAAGGGGACTTGTGGCAAATAGGGAGAGTATTTGCCTGATGCTACTGAAGAGCCTATCTGTCTAGATCCCAAGGCGGTCCAGTCCTGCCCGTCAGTTCTTTTTGGATTGAATCTCAAGCAACTAGTTTTCTTCAACAGCTAAGATGCTGGTGAATGGCAAGGGCAGTTGACACACAGGAGAAAGGGGATATGGAAATGCTGCTCACACTTTCACTGTTGAAAGACAAACAAAATGAAGTTAATGCAGTTTGTTTGTTATGTTGACTGTGTACTCACCTGCTTTTTATTTCACTCCTGGCTAAACCTTGGTTTCTTGGTGAGGGAAAAGTCTACAGTCTCTTAATTCACTTCCCTTTCCCTTGGAATCAGCCCTGATGAGGGGAAAAGGAAGATGGCTGAGTGGCCCCAGTGGATGCTGTTTACTATGTGGCACCAGAACTTTGTGTCACTAATATCTTGATTTTGTAAGCTTATACCCTGATATTTTTACCTCCACAAGTGTAATACAGAACAGCAACCCTTCTCAAAAAAAACACTGTTCATGTGGAATATATAATATTTATGTTTATTCTGTTATGAAATAGACTGAGATACCTTAATCTGAAAACCATCTCTAGAGTTGCATTAAATTCTTTTTAAAGTGTTGAAGGCTGTGCCTTTTGGTGACTTGTGTACTGTTAAAGATGGATTTGTAGTGCCAAGACTGATATTCATTCTCTTTCCAATTATTCAGAGATTAAGAACAGAAAGGGATTCTTTGAAAGAAACTATTGAAGAACTTAGATGTGTACAAGCTCAGGAGGGTCAACTCACCACGACAGGTAAAGGCCAAATAAGGAGATTAAATGCATCCTTTCTAAAGTTTACAGGACTTCTCTGAAGAGTATTGAATGTGCTTTTGTTTAGCACAGAATAAATTTAAGCTCCTCTAAGATCAGCAGTGAAAAGCTGCTTCAGCTATTCATAACTTTGTAAGCATTTGAAAACTTCAAATATTATTTCAGTCAATCAGAAAATTTAGTCTCCTCCCCAGTGTGATATTTTTATAATGTATTTCTGATTTTTGTGTAGTTACATGATTTTCTTTAGACAGATACTGTTTTCTCATGTGTGTGTGATGTTTCATGAGTTGCAGTTTATTTCTATGTGTACTGTTGCACAGCTTTGTAGTTCTTAGATAAGATAATGAGCAGAAAATACACCACAAAATTACTTCATTAGAATGGGTGAAGACAGAAATAATGATTATTCTCCAAATGAAATTGTGCTTGTCCGTCTGTCTTGCTGTAGCCTGACTTTGTGTCATTTTCCATTGTCTAGCATTACTGTAAAACTGCAAACTTCTAGAACAATGTTTACTTCTGGTATTTTAAAGAAAGTTACTGGTCTGCTTGCTAAATTTTTTATCTTTCCTAACCCAGGATTGATGCCTCTGGGAAGACAAGAACCTTCAGACAGTTTAGCAGCAGAAATTGTTACTCCCGAAATAAAGTAAGCTAATGTGCGCTTTGTTTTACTAACCTTTACAATATACCCACAGATGGTTAGTTAGTTTTCAGGGTTAGAAAGTTTCTACAATTAATGTTTGCTTTTTTTCTCTCCTTTTGGATTTCTGCATAACAGGAGCTGTTATGCTTAAGACAAAATTCAGTTGACCTCTCTTGATTTTGTACTGTGCTCCAAAAAGAAGGGAAAACAAAAAAAACCTTTATCCTCACATTGTGTTGCTGAGACTTCATATAACTGCAGCTTATATGTGCATTAACAGACAAAAATGTTTGTAACAAGAGTGTATTGTTGTACCAGGAAAAAAATGACTAAAATTATGAAAGGAAGAGTAGATTATAAATTTTGCATCATGGCAAATGCTTACAATCTATTAAAAGGAAGAGCAGCAGAGGCAGAGCTGAAAATCATTGTATCTTAAGATGTTGCAGGCTGTGTTTAGCCTTGCCAGTATGCTAAAAGTTTTTAAGACAGTCACATCTCAGAAATTTGTTAGCTCTTCAGGAATTCTTTTTTTTAATCTCTACCAATACTGATACAGTATTTTAACAGTTGGAAAGCTCAATATGGGCCAAAACATAGTGTTCAGTAGTAAAACAATATCCTTCTAGAAAGCTAATAATAGAAAAGATTTGGTTTTCTTCCAGCTGTGCTGCTGCACCTTACTACAAGAGCAATTCTTTCTAGTTTTGTGCAGGAACAACAAAAGAGAAGAATAATGTTTTGAGGCAGTGTTAGTGAAGTATGGAGTTACTGCATAAACCTTCCACATGCTGACATGAGGGAGGACAGGACCCTAAATGCCATAAATATCCAAGCATAGCCTGTGGTTTCACTGACTCTTCCTGAAGATGAATTCTGGATGTTATGCAAGCATGCACCTATGAAGACTGTTTGCAGCTGCTAACTTGGCCTCCGTGCCTACTTGATAGAGGTGGACAGCGGCAGTCGCTGCTGTAGGACTGGAACTTCCTTACCTGGAGGTCTGGTGTTGTGGTTTAACCTGGCTGGGAGCCAAACATCACACAGCTGCTCGCTCACTGCCCCCTGCCCCCAATGGGATGGGGGAGAGAATTGGGAAAAAAAAGTAAAATTTGTGGATTGAGATAAAGACAGTTTAATAGAACAGAAAAGGAAGGGATAATAATAATAATAATAATAATGATGGTGATGATGGTGATGATGATGGTGATGGTAGAATACACAAAATGAGTGATGCACAATGCAATTGCTCACCACCCGCTGATCGATGCCCAGCCTGTACCAACCCCCAGTTTATGTACTGAGCATGATGTCATATGGTATGGAATACCCCGTTGGTCAGTTGGGTTAGCTGTCCTGGCTCCCTCCCAGCTTCTTGTGCACCTGGCAGAGCATGGGAAGCTGAAAAGTCCATGACTAGTGTAAACATTACTTAGCAACAACTAAAACATCAGTGTGTTATCAACATTCTTCTCATACTAAATCCAAAACACAGCACTACACCAGTTGATAGGAAGAAAATTAACTCTATCCCAGCTGAAATCGGGACATCTGGGTTGCTGCCTCAGGCAGCCCACCCATAGGAGTAGCTACTACTGCTCTCTTGTTCCCTCCATGGTGACAGATCATGGGTCTGTGCTCAAGCACCTTTCTCCATCTCATAGAGAAGACCTGCAGACCAAATGGGAGAGTTTCATGAGGCAGATTCAGTCTGTGGCCTGTCAGTTCCACCTGAGGAAATCAGCAAGTTAAGTGACATGAGGAGTTAACAGGGTTCATTGAAAGAGCTTTGAACTAGTTTTGAAGGGGGAAAGGGGTAAAACCAGGCTCACTAGAGGTAAGCCTGGGGGCGGCACGCCAATGTTTGAGGGATGGTGTGCTAGCAAGGTCCTTCAGTCTGCTCCATGATCAGCACATTTGAAATGTCCCTGTACTAATGCGCGCAGCACCTTAGCCATCTCAGTGGAGGTAGGGGATGGAGATGCATGTGGCAGCAAAGATGTAATTCATGTAGGAATTAGAGCTTCTCCCCAAAAAAAGGTGGCAGGATCAATAGCTCAACTGAAGTGCATCTACACCAATACATGCAGCGTGTGGAACAAACAGGAGGAGCTGGAAGCCATTGTGCAGCTGGAAAACTACGATATAGTTGCAATCACAGAAACATGGTCGGATGACTCACGCCAACTGGAGTGCTGCAATGGATGCCTATAAACTCTTCAGAAGGGATAGGCAAGGAAGGAGAGGCAGTGGGGTAGCCATGTATGTTAGAGAGTATTTTGACTGTCTAGAGCTTGACAATGGTGATGAAAGGGTCGAGTGTTTATGGGAAAGAATCAAAGGAAAGGCCAACAAGGCAGATATCATGGTGGGAGTCTGCTGTAGACCACCCAACCAGGATAAAGAGGCAGATGAAGTATTCTGTAAGCAACTGGGAGAAGTCTCAAGATTGCTAGCACTTGTTCTCGTGGGGGACTTCAACTTACCAGGTGTCTGCTGGAAGTACAATACGGCAGAGAGGAAACAGTCTAGGAGGTTCATGGAGTGTGGAAAAAAACTTCCTGACACAGCTGGTGAGTGAGCCAACTAGGGAAGGCACCCCGCTGGACCTGTTGTTTGTGAATAGAGAAGGACTTGTGGGTGATGTGACAGTTGAAGGCTGTCTTGGGCACAGCAGTCACAAAATGATAGAGTTTTCGATTGTTGGAGAAGTAAGGAAGGGTATTAGCAAAACTGCTACCTTGGACTTTCAGGGGCCGACTTTGGCCTGTTTAGGGGCCTG